CACCTCGCCCCTGCACTCCGGGGCGGGTCCGCTCCATGTCAGGTTCACCCCATCGTCGGAGGTGCAGTAGATGGTGTCATCCCCAATAAGGGACAGACCCTCCACGCACCTGTACTTTACTTGTACGCCATAGGTGAACGGATCTGGTCCAAAGCCAGAGTGCTGCCCGTTGGTGATTCGTGGAGGGGGACCACAAACTACAAGAGAATAGAGAAAGGAAAAATTAAGATTTTCTTCATTTGGTCAGAGAGACAGAGAAGTGCAGGGAAGTAACAGGAGAAGCCAGTTCCTGATATTTCTACTGAGGATTGCTCTCCTCAAAGTCCTCCTCTCTTCTTGACGGGTTTGGCTTTGGCTCTGCCAGTGTTCCCAGATTGGCCCAGCTAACCCTCCCAGCACGGCCCGGCCCTGGTACCTCAACATGTCTCCATCCCCTCCCCTTCAGCCACCTTTCCATTATCTCTTTCTTTTTAACATGAGAAATGATCCTGCTTGTGAACAGGGTCAGGGAATTGTGAGTTTCGTAAACCCCTTGGCCAGTCCTCTGAGAAACAGGTGCGAGTCCCACTACTCGACACGTTTAATCAAGAGCAGTTTTGATCGAGGACGAAAACATTCAAGCCACTTAATGCTGTGACTCAGACCCCTTCTCCTAACACCACCTTCTCCGAGAAGGGATGCTCAAACCACGCGATTTTCCCACCGCCGTTCCTACCCACTGCGGAGACGGGACTCGGGGCACCACCGCCGCGCTCACCCTTGTCGCAGTGCGGCACGGGGGGCTTCCACGTCCCGTCGGACCAGCACTGGATCCTCCCGTTGCCCCTCAGCACGTAGCTGGGGTCACACCGCAGCTCCACGTAGTGCCCAAAGGTGTATTCGGCTTTCCTGGGGGTGATCTCTCTCCCGTGGTGGATAGCCGGGCTGGGACACTGCACCTCTGAGGAACACCAGCAGCAGAAAGAGCTTCCATGGTTTGGGTCAGGAGGGGAGAGCAGGAGATGTTTGCACGGGGGTGCTTTCCCACGGAGGTGACTTGCTGCCCCAGAGAACCTGCCCCGCAGCCTGTTAGTGCCGACGGACGTCTCTAAGCAGACCCGGCACGCTCAGGGACGGTAATTATGTGATAACAGCCATTTCTCCTGCAAGGCAGAATGATCTGAGCCCTGTGATTAGCTATAAATTGTGCTGAAGGGGCCATACGTTCCTGGCTGCATCGCTGCATCGTTATTTGAAAGGCTAAATGATCAGCACGAGCTGCAGCTATTTCTTTTCAGCCGTGGAACAGCAGAATTACTATTAGTGAGAGCCAAAGCACGGCTCGATAAAGTCCTCTGGCCCAGCACCGCTAGCGGGTGTTTTGAAAACGATGTTATTTCCACGTCATTAAATTGATGCTTTGGTGGCAAAGCGAAGGAAGCAGCGTACTTACTCTGGCAAAGCTTTGGGATTACGGACCACGTGAAATTTTTAAGGCAAGTAGTTGTTGGAGACACTTCTGGGATCAAAGCGTATCCGGATCTGCAGAAGTAGGTCACGATTGTCCCGACTGGAAACTCGTGCTGAGGGTTTCGGTCCGCGTTGTTGACGGCAGGAGGGTAGGGACAGTGACCTGGTGCCAGAGCAGGGGACAACACGGGCCCTCAGAGCTGGGAGGTCTCCCCCACAGACCCCTGCCTTCGGGGAGCTCAGCCTGCCCCTGGGCAGGGGCACAAACCCCAGAAAGAAGCAAGAGACAGCAGTGACCCTGAGCATCCCTGTGGGGTGGGGGGGGGTGAAGGGAAATGGAAAAAAATAGCGGTGACCAATTCACCAAATGATGTGAATCTAACAAGAGTCTTTACCCTTGCATGCTTTTGCACCTCACTGGGTGTACCCCGCAGTAAAGCAGGGCAGCCCAACAAGAGCAGCCCTGCCACGTTCCCCGGGGGCTGTGGAAGAGCAGAGGGGACTCCCACCACCAAACATCAGCCGCTCGCTGTGGTTCCCATCCTCCAGCCCCTCTCCAGCACACACCACGTGTGCTCCTAGTGAAATACAAGCAGGCAATCACATGCAGGAGACAAAGTAAGGAGAAACGGGATCTGTGCATACCTAGGGTGCAGGCGGGGCGCCGGGG